CTGTCCCCGAGTGTCCCCCCCCCGGCCAGGGGTCCTGGGGCTCCCTGTCCCACCCGTGCCCCCCCAGACTTCCTGGTGACGAAGGACAGCGAGTACTGCGCGTGCCGCACGCCCTGTGCCATGGTGCGCTACGGCAAAGAGCTCTCCATGGTGAAGATCCCCAGCAAGGCCTCGGCCAAGTACCTGGCCAAGAAATTCAACAAGACAGAGCAGTACATCGCGTGAGTGACACTGCCACCCCTGCCGCCACTACCGTGTCACCCTCTGCCCCGCCAGCGCACCGCGTGGCACAGCGTGACCGTGTGACGTGGCACAGCACAGCCACGCGGCACCCCCAGCATGTGAACTGGTGTGACATGGCACAGCGTGACAGTGTGACATGGCACACAGCATGAACCAGCACGGTGTGATACGGCATCCCCGGGAGCCATGAACTGGCACAGCCCAGAGGGATGTGACATGGCATGGCCACAGGGTGTCCCCAGCACACGGGAACTGGCACAGCACAGTGTCACAGTGTGACATGGCACAGCCACATGGCATCTCCAGCACATGTGAACTGGCCCAGCACGATGTGATGGTGTGATATGGCACATTATGGCCACACCGTGTCCCCCAGCACACGTGCACTGCTGTGACATGGCACAGCCACACAGCGTCCCCAGCACGCGTAAGCTGGCACGGCACAGTGTGATGGTGGGACACAGCATGGCACAGCCACATGGCATCGCCAGAATCCCTGAACTGGCACAGCGCGGCACGGTGTGATGGTGTGACAAGGCATGGCCATACGTCCCCAGCACACGTGAACTGCCCAGCATAGCACAGCCTACCCTGTGCAAATATGCCCCAGCAAAGGGAAAAACACGTGGCACTGCATGGCACAGCACAACATGGCATGGTACAGATGGCACCGCATGGCATGACACTACGTGGCACAGCCCAGTATGGCGCAGCATGGCACGGGGCCCCAGAATACAGCCCAGCACATCCTTGTGTCCCCCAGCACCAGGCAGACCCCTCTGCCCATTCCCCTGTGCCCCACGGCACAGTCCAGCCCCCCCCAGCACAGCCTGGCACAGCCCCCCGGCCTCCTGTGCCTGACGCTGTCCCC